TTGATTGAAATAGTAATGTCGTGGAAAACGCAAAGTAAACGATTAATTAAATTATACAAATGGTTTATACATTTATACCTACATAGTGTGCAAAAAAAGTCCTATACAGAGTGTTTCAGAATATGTGGGCAATCTCCTGGATTTAGATATAACCACAGACCACCAAAACAAATGGACGGCGCATTGCCATTCAATAACAATGCATTGTTTGCGGTCAACAAACGGTCACAGTCTAAGCGTCAAATTTGAGATAGAATTTTATGTTTTCTTCCAGTGACGTCAACAAACGGTCACAGTCTAAGCGTTAAATTGGCGATAGAATTTTATGTTTTCTTCCAGTGACGTATTGGGATTAAAAAAAATAATAAGTAGGTAGGTACTTACAAACGATATTTCCATGTATTGTTATTTTTAGTAAAAAATAATGTATTTAAACTCCATAATTAACTTAAACACGATAGAAATTCACAAACGAAAACACAAAACAACAAGCTGTCAACCCACAGAACATAACCTTTTTCTATGCTGTCAAATATGACGAATTTACCAACGTTGTTAATATTTAATTTTAATAATTATTAAATGATTTACTTTCTTTAAATAGAGAAAAATATCTAAAGAAAATGATGAACAAATCCTTTTTACAATTTTTTTATTATTCAAACGAATTACTGGTAATTATTAATGTTCATTATGTTATGATGAACGTCCAAAAAGGCGTGTAATCTATACTTCTGACAACGTTGGAAGCCGTGTTTCTTTCGACGGTGTTTAGAATGTGAAACTATGCTTTACTCGCTTTTTAAACGTAAACAAATCCGTCCATTTGTTTTGGTGGTCTGTGGATATAACACATAAAAATAATATGACAAGTTCCTATACATTTTTCCTACGGCCCCCCTACGGAGATACCGGCCCATAACGGACGCCCCTGGAAAGAAAATAAAAGGATCGAAAATTTCAAAACACTTTATTTTCAACTGACACTGACATCATTCAAATTTTTAAATCGGTAAATCTAAAAAACATTACAAAAAAAAATAAATGTAAAAAACCCTATTGTACAAAAACATTTTTTTTCGTATGTACTTTACATTTTATCGTTGTCGATCAGGATTGCCTTTTTTTACTTTAAGGTTTAAGCTGACTAAAAATATTATTGTTGTTCCTTTATAGTACAGGGTGTTAAAAAAATAGTATTGCTCTGTTAGAGCTAGTCCGTCCCTGGCAAACTAAATAAGCCAAATGTAATTCAAAGTGTCCATATTAAGGAAACTTTACTAGTAAACAATATATTTAAAAATTATTCAATTCCACCAAAAAAAAAACGATTTCCAGGGGTGTCCGTATGGGACCGTATCTCCGTAGAGGGGAGCGTAGGAAAAAAATATGAGATTATATTATTTTTATGTGTTCTATTTGAATCCGGAAGATTGCCCACATATTCTGGGACACTCTGTATGTTTATATAAATAATCTTTTATTTACTTATGCTATTTTTTTTATTTATTAACATAATTAATATTTATTAATATATATATATATAATAATTAAACAGATAATTTTTTCTTGGTTAGGTACGTCAATGTTTCCGATTAATTATAATTATAATTTATATATAATTATATTTAAATTATTTTTCATGACGACTCTTTTCTCAAAAATCTCATCGGATAGTTTGTGTGATTTTGTTGCAAACATTCGTTCTATGACGGCATAGGCGTATTGCATTTTACAAAGACAGTTTTCATAGTTTTTTATAACCTCGCTTACAAATACGGAATATACCTTTTTAATTAAAAAAATTTAAATCAAACTAAAACAAATAACTAATGATAACTTGATTTTAGTTGCGACTAAAACTAAATTTTTAATCGTGATTGATTTAGTCATAACTAAAATAATCACTAATTTTTTAGTTTGATTCGTCAATCGATTGAAAATATTAGTGACTAATCCCAACTCTGATATCTACATCATATGAACTTATCTAACTATTTCATTCCTATTCCTATTCCTATAATATTATTGTATAAGGTAAAATAAATTTATAAATAAAAGAACAATAAAATTTTTATTACTTGGTGCTTAGAGAATCAACATATTTTTTGTTATTTGGGCAAAAAGCGGGACATACCTTCATAGATGACCTTATCGTTTTTTGGAAATCGATGCATTTTTACACTATCTCCCCTGCTTTTGCACTTTTGTACACAACAAGAATAAACCATAATAATGAATACACAATACAAACTTAAAAGGTTATAAAATTTAATACTTCACAAATTTAAGTTATTTTTTCAAGTCGAATTATTATGACAACTGTCATTATGACAACGGTAGTCTCGGTGACAAAAACAATTTTGGCGACATTAGCGCCTCTGGCAAGCGTAGTCAAAACTTCTCAGCGGACAAGTTTTTGTACAGTAAAGATGCACAACCATGTGATGTGACTGACACTGACAAATAAATAAACATCAATTTGAAAAGTCAAAATTTAAAAAAAAAACACATTTACACAGCTCATTATTTGCGACAACTGAAGTGTACGCGATTTTGTTGCAAGCAAGTGTACAAGGCACTACACTAAAAAATGACCATTATTTTGTTCAATTCGACCAAAACCAACGATTAAAAAAAATCAAAGTTTGTACAATTGGCGTATCCGAAATGTGAACGATTTTTTGTTGTCATGGATTTTTTTCATAAAATTTATTCGTTCATTCGTTACATATAGAAGGGAGAATACTAAGAATAAGAACAATATCCTAAATCGTAAATACACAAAAATAACATAACTAAATTAACATATTGCTCAAGAAAATTGGTTTTTAAGTGAAATAGCTGCAGATTTAAATGTCAGTAAAAGCTGCATATTTTATATCAAAAAACGTTGGCAAGAACAACAAAGATTGAGAAGACCTATCAGGCAAGGTGTAGGTAAAATCTCCAACGAAAATGAAGACAATGCTCTTGTCGCACTTATTAGGCAAAATCCTTTCAATAGCGCATTTAAGGCCCGAGAAGATACACAATTTCCAGGATCTCTTCGAACAGCTCAAAAAAGATTGAAACAAGCTGGCTTAAAAAACTGTGCTGCTAAGCTATTTTAATACTTAATTGCAGAGCCATTAGCTGCCACAACCCTTTGCAACCTTCTTGGCATGGACATTATTAGCTCACGCATGTCGTACAGCATTCCATAGTTCATCTCGGTTTGCTGGCCTAAAGTCCCGTTGATATATATTTTTAACTATAAAACCCCACACGTTTTCAATAGGGTTTAAGTCAGGGCTTCTAGCTGGCCATGGCAAAACAGTTATGTGGTTGTTGTTTACCCACTCTGTAACCACGCGAGCTGTGTGAACTGGTGCATTGTCCTGTAATATAATATTTATTAGAATCGTTTTTGAATACTATACAGTTTTCTTACATGTTGGAATATAAAGTTTTCTGGAAACAAATGTCTAACTGAAGGCAGCATAACGTTGTCCAAAATCCTCGTATAGTGCTCAGCCGTTAATCTACCATCAATTTTCCAACATACTCCCGGACCATGGATGCTTATCCACGCCCAAACATTTATGGAAAAGCGTCCACTATTTGAGGTTCTTAATGTATAGTTATCCTCAAATCTTGCGTTTCTTGGACGATATACACACAGCCTTCCATTATTGGAAGATTGGAACGTTTTTTCATCCGAAAATATAACATTATTCCAAAAATCGTCTCCATAAATAGTCATTGGCGAACTGGACTCTCCTGCTCTTATTTTCGTCAGTTAAAAAAACCTTATGAGCAGCAGCACAGTTTTTTAAACCAGCTTGTTTCTTGTTTTTTGAGCTGTTCGAAGAGATCCTGGAAATTGTATATCTTCTCGGGCCTTAACTGCGCTATTGAAAGGATTTTGCCTAATATGTGCGACAAGAGCATTGTCTTCATTTTCGTTGGAGATTTGTCCTACACCTTGCCTGATAGGTCTTCTTAATCTTTGTTGTTCTTGCCAACGTTTTTTGATATAAAATATGCAGCTTTTACTGACATTTAAATCTGCAGCTACTTCACTTAAAGACCAATTTTCTTCTAATTTGGCTATTGCCCTGGACCTCTGAGCCTCGGTTAAGTGGGGTGGCATTTTTAATATTGCAATTGACAACTATTATCAAATTTGACAACGACCGACGACACTGATGCAAAGCCCATATTACACGATTAAATTTTGCCGTTCAAATTTCGGGGACGCCAATTGTTTTTTTTTTTATTGACTTTTAATCTTTTCGATTATTTAGCCAGCTCATTATTATAAATTTTATGGTTCTTAAAAACAACCACAACACCCAAGGCTGTGACCGGGAATCGAACCCGGTACCGTGGCGCAGATTGATTACCGCTCTGTAGCTTTAACGCACTGCGCCATCCTCGGCCCCAATTGTACTGTTACCCGATTTTTTGTTCGAATTTAATGAATTTGTAGCTTTACCTATCTACTTTATGTTAATAATTTTTCATAAAAAAGTGCTGTTACACAAACAAGAGCAAACAAAAAATGATTTTTAAAGGTAATATATAATATTATAATCCAATGTTTTTTAGTTTATTGAGGAATCATAGCTACAAATACCAATGATCCTTGATAAAACTATTTAATTTAAAACAAATTAACAAATAAATTTTACAAGTAAAAACCGATTTTTTCGCAATGTCGCGAAAAAAGCTGATTATCAAAATGATGGTAATTTTTTAATTTAAAGAAAAGGGTGAAAAACCCATAAAATAAAAAAAAATAAATATTAAAAAAAATGAAAATTCCCATTGAATTTTCCAGACCTCTCGGGAATTTTCCCACCTTTTGCAATAGGTATAGTTTTTATATTATTTTGCCGTACATCCCGGCGCTATACGCTAGCACTTCAAATTAAATATTATATTTTATGTAATATTTGTTTATTATTATTTATCTACTTGCATAAATAAATGCTTCTTAATATGTTTTCATTTAGATTGCAGGCTTTAACGAACTAGATGAAGCAGTAAAACGATTGGATTTCAGAAGCGCAGTGCGAGACGTCCGTAGATTTAACTACATATGCGCTTTGCTTGACCTTTTAATAGGGCAACAAATGATGGCGCTATCGGGATGCGCTCAAAGAGTACTTATAGAAATGTTGGAAGAAGTAGCAAATCACTCGACATCGAGTCACCATAACCCGAGGGGATTCAAAAGACTATTAAATAAGGTTAGAGCTTTAAGTGCCGCTGAAAGATCTGCTTGTTGGGGTGGTACCCTTGGATCTCAACTACTATGGCACCAGCATACTACGAAAATAGAACGTATATTAGGTAAATATACACCACTCAAGACGCTTAATAGCTGGTAGTAACTAATCAATGTAGGGTTACAATTTTTACTTATATCTTATATTTTTAGTGCATTACATTCTTATTTAATACACCCCATAGATTGGAAACTGCACTAGCGCTAACGGCAAAAGGCTAAAATAAATTTACGCCATCTAGGTCTACAATACCTAAGCAATGCCAAAAATTGAAGTAGATTTCTGTAACATATATTGGCGCCATATTTGAATTTTAATTCTTTGTAGGGTGCCTTTATATATTGTATTTTAAATAAAACAAGTGTCAATATAAGATTTATTTATTATAGTAATAATTTAAAATAAAATACAGACATCTATATGTACATATTAAATACATAATCAGTATACATGAATATTTTTTTATTTGGGGAGTGCAAACCTAAAAAATATTAGTCTTAACTCTTCAATAGTAAGAGAATATTGTAAAATTTGGTAATTTAGTCCAGGCTCCTTATACAATTTTAAACTTAACATATAGGAATTTGTACAAGGCCTTTGAGTGTGGACTTTTGGCAAGTTTTAATTTGGTTAACCAACCGTGAAAAATCCATCTTACCAACACTTGGTTTTGGAACAACCATAAGTAGCCTGGACTTGGCCTGGACTAAATTACCATTAAACAAGCAATCCTAAGTAATTCATAATTCACAAACAGTATTTTTACGCTAGAGCGATACTGCCGTGCCAAGCCAAAAAGACGCAACTCCACATTTTTACTTTAGAAATTATAGCGCTTTGTTTTTTTCATAAGATACGTTCAATTTAATTAGCAAATTTTTAAGAGCTATATAGTACTTAAAAATGTATGTATAGTTAAGATGCGTCTTTTTTGCTAAGAGAATAAGTTAATAATAATTGAAATGAGTCTTTTAGGCTTAGGACGGCAGGATAGTCAATACTTACAAATTGGTTACATTTCCGCACCCAACAACTACAACACATTTCACAACCATTGACACGTTTTATCACTTTTAAGGCGCAAAATGTATTTAATAATTTAAAAATTATGATCGACATCAATAATTATTGATGTGATTGCGCCTTAAAAGTGATAATTATAATTATTATTGACATTGACATTTGCAAATAGCAAATAGATGTCTGCAATTTACAAATAGATATAGTTTAGGTATTGTAGCTCTAGAGGGCAGTGGTGGGAGAGTTTCCAATCTATGGGGTGTATTATCTTTGGGCACCACCCTGCTGAAAGAAAACGATACAATACAGTAAAATAATTAAATCCCGATTGCGAAAGCGATTAAGTTCCAATCGTTTTTTATTATTTTGAATTGTATTTTGGTATTGGGATGAAGCGTTTAGAATTATAATTATAAATTATAATTGGAAAATAAAATTTTAAATATTTTGAATTTAAAACAAGTGGTTTGTTTCAATCGGTCTCAATCGATTCAGACCGATTGAAACAAAAAACTAAGATTTTAATCGGTTTTAATCGACTTTATTTTTAATTGAGCTGAATATATTCCAATTGGAAAATCAATATTGAAACTATTGATCTTAGTTCAATAATTATAATTTTAAAATTATAATTGAAACTATTTAATAAATCGAACGTTAATTAAAACCGATTGAAATCTTAGTTTCATAATTTCAAAATTATTTTTCAATAATTATTAGGTCCAATATGCATAATATGTACAAGACTTACAGCACCTAGAACTGGATGGAAATTATTATGCCTATGCAGATGACACAGTGTTAATAAATAGTGGTTTTAACCTAAGAGAAGTTGAACAAATGGTCAATTTAGATATGAAAAATTTTAACAGTTAATAATAATAATAAAACGTCTTTATTTAACGAGGCGAAGTCTAGCTAGGGCTAGAGAACAGTTGGGCTACAAAAAACAATCTTAATTTAAATTATAAAAAGACTGTCTATATGATCTTTAAGCAAAAAAATAAACCATATATTATATGTTATATAGGAGCCGACTCCTGCGGTACTCCATACTTTATATTTTCCTTATTACTACAAACTCCATCAATACAACAATACTGTTTTCTATTAGTAAGATAAGTTATCTAGAGCGCGGATTTCTAGCTATAATGCTATACGTAATTTTTAGCTGCAGAATTATTATAAATATGTGTTTTCATGAATTACGGCATGTACAATCACGTGACAATTTTTGTTGTGCTTATAAGCTTATTTTTCGTTTATATGCATATATTTTTTTAATGCCATTTTTATGCATATTTTAACCATATTTATTGCATATTTTGCCTTTTTAATCATAAATAATTTTTAATGCCAGATGTGTTACTTTTGGCAATTACGTATCTATATTTTAATATTTGTATTACAAATCAGACATAATACGGGGATTTACCGCTTACGTTGCAGCCAGGTTGGAAGAAGAATGTGATATAGCTCCTATCTCCACAGTAAAGAAGCAAGCATCTAGATTATAGTATTACAGTATTTCGTTCGTTGTTCGTCAGATAGCGAGTCAACCAAGAACCTACACATACTTCCACACATATACCGCTTATTGCCTATATTTTGTATAGATGACCTTGTTCCCGTTTCTGAGGAAAAATTTGTTGTTTTGGTGTGCCATTTTGCTTTATGCGCTAGTCAGTTCATAAGTGGGGGATTTAAAATATATGATACCATAGACATCACAGAACATAACATAGAGAAATTAATACGTCCACGAATTGTCAACTAAATAGAATTTAGGTTATATCAATTTTTTCTAAATCATTTGCTTACATAGCCTGGGTTAAGCTAAAAATTTCTGTGATTTGGCTTTATAAAAAGCAAAAAGTGGAATAATATGCATATTATAATATGTATTATATATGTAAAGGCCACCAAACATCTCGTAAAAACAATGGAAAGCACAATTCCAAAACAATTGGTATACAACAGAAAACAAACAAAATGGATACCCTGCTGAAAATGACGGATGATTGCGGATATAAATTCTTCGTCAAAACCGGATAAAAGCAGATGATTGCGGGTGTAAATTCTTCGTCGAAGCCGGATAAAAGCAGATAAAAGCGGGTAAAAATATCATCTGATAACATCTGCTTTTGTCCGCATCGCTATATCCGCGAACACCCGGTTGGTTGTGTTTTATGTCCGGTTAGTGCACCCCCGCAATCATCTGCAATCATCTGTTTTTAACCGTCTTCACTGTGTTTCGTTTATATCTGAATTTGTCCGGAATCATCTGCAAACTTCTGCTTACGTCTGTTTATATCCGCGATTACCTGCATTTTTTTTCGTCTATTTTTGTCGGGTTTTATCTGCAAACGTCTGGTTTTATCCGCGAGCATATGCTTTTACCCGCGAACATCTGCAATCATCCGCGAACATCTGCTTTCATCCGCGAACATCTGATTTTATCCGCCAACATCTGCTTTTATCCGCGAACATCTGCTTTCATCCGCGAACATCTGCAGTCACCCGCGAACAACTGCTTTTATCCGCGAACATCTGCAATCACCCGCAAACATCTGCAATCACCCGCCAACATCTGCAATCACCCGCGAACATCTGCTTTCATCCGCAAACGTCTAGTTTTATCCGCAAACATCTGTTTTCATACGGTTTCACCCACAAACATGCTTTTATTTGCGAACGCCTGATTTCATCCGGTTAGTGCACCCCCGCAATCATCTGCTTTTATCCGCGAACATCTGCAATCACCCGCGAACATCTGCTTTCATCCGCGAACATCTCATTTTATCCGCGAACATCTGTTTTTATCCGCAAACATCTGCTTTCATCCGCGAACATCTGCAGTCACCCGCGAACAACTGCTTTTATCCGCAAACATCTGCTTTCATCCGCGAACATCTGCTTTTATCCGCGAGCATATGCTTTTATCCGCGAACATCTGCGATCATCCGCGAACATCTGCTTTCATCCGCGAACATCTGATTTTATCCGCCAACATCTGCTTTTATCCGCGAACATCTGCTTTCATCCGCGAACATCTGCAGTCACCCCCGAACAACTGCTTTTATCCGCGAACATCTGCAATCACCCGCAAACATCTGCAATCACCCGCAAACATCTGCTTTCATCCGCGAACATCTGCTTTTATCCGCGAACATCTCATTTTATCCGCGAACATCTGCAATCATCCGCGAACATCTGCTTTTATCCGCAAACATCTCAATTTATCCTCGAACATCTGCTTTTATCCGCAAACATCTGCTTTCATCCCCAAACATTTGCTTTTATCTGCAAACATCTAATTTTATCCGCAAATATCTGCTTTTATCCGCGAAAATCTGCTTTTATCCGCAAACATCTCAATTTATCCGCGAACATCTGCTTTTATCCGCAAACATCTGCTTTCATCCCCAAACATTTGATTTTATATGCAAACATCTGATTTTATCCGCAAATATCTGTTTTTATCCGCGAACATCTGCTTTTATCCGCAAACATCTCATTTTATCCGCGAGCATCTGCTTTTATCCGCAAACATCTGCTTTCATCCCCAAACATCTGGTTTCATACGCTTTCACCCGTAAACATGCTTTTATCTGCGAACGCCTTATTTCATCCGGTTAGTGCACCCCCGCAAACATCTGCCTTTATCCGCAAACATCTGATTTTATTTGCAAACATCTTCTTTTATCCGCAAACATCTGATTTTACCCACAAACAACTGATTTTATTCGCAAACATCTGATTTTATCCGCAAACATCTGCTTTTATCCGCAAACATCTGCTTTTATCCGCAAACATCTGATTTTATCCGCAAACATCTGATTTTAATCGCAAACATCTGATTATATCCGCAAACATCTGCATTTATCCGCAAATATCTGCTTTTATCCGCGAACATCTCCAAACATCTGCTTTTAATTGCAAATCTCTGCTTTCAGCCTGAGGCGTGTTATTATTCCACATTATAAACGCGTACGGCAGCTTTTGGGTTAAAGCAGTGGAGAGCAGGGTTTAAGTTAAGTGGGT